GATTTGTAACTGTCGTTCACGAGCGAGTCGCCGACGACAAACGCATGCGAACGCTCTCTTCTTCTTCTTCTTCTTCTCCTTCTTATTCAATCTCTTTTTCATCGATTGTGAGAAGCGATAAGAAAGGGTTCGATTGCTCTCTATATATCTTTCATCTTTCTCATTTTTACACTCTAAGCTCGAAGAAATCTGGGTTGAAGTGTGTTCGTGTTCGTGTGTTCTCTTAAGGTAATTTTGGATTCGAACTTGTGGGTCGCTGGAAAAACTGAATTTTGTGTAGCTATGAACTTGTGGGTCGATTTTGTTTCTACTAAGGGTTCGTGTTGGTTTAAGTTTTGACGATGAACAAACATGAAGCTGTTTTTTAGGAATTCGTTTTTTCTTGACTTCAATCAATCGTTACGATAACGTCCTAGGTTCTAACTTTGTATTCTGTGGATGATACGGGCTTTGAAGAAAGTTGCGTTTGATGGGAATGTTTTTTTTATTTTGAGCTTTGGCTATTTAGATTTTGCTAGTTGGGCAGATTCTTTGGTCAATGGTTGTTGATATTTGGGCAGATTTGTGTAGCTTTAAGTTAGAAGCGGCTATTGTGTAGCCTTATTGCTAGAGCTTTAAACAATTGCTAAAGTTTCTCTCTTTGTATTGGTTTTGGTGCTTGTGTAGAATCCTGAGTAATTTAGGATTGATGTGCGATCCATTTTTTAGTTATACGTAAACACAATGCCGAAAGAGATTAAACCAGTAACAATCTTTTTCTTTAACCTTATTCTATTCGATTTTATTGTAAAATACGAATTTACTTTCTTTGATTATTCTCTAAGCACGACCTTATTCTCTTCGATGAAAAAGAATTGAGTATGCATTGCATGACACCGACTCTCAAAGTCTCTCATTTATATCATTTTCAAATATATAATTTAATGTAATTGTTTATTTAAAATTTAAATTATAATTTTTTAAAAAGCCAAGCATATGTTGACATGTGTAAAAACAGTCTCTCTATGAGTTCTCAAAAATTTCATTAAAAAATAGATTCTCATCTCTCTCATCTATTTTTTTTTTTTTTTTAATATTATTGTTAAAAACTTCTGTAGGAACCTTGCAATGCTGTTCTAAGGGAACAAATGTTAAAGGCAAGAGTTATACGAGAAATTTGCTTCAGCCATGTGCGATATCTAATCCTCTGGTCTTGATATGGTATCAATTGCAACTTCACAACCTTGGTTTCTTCGTTTTAAGAACTTTAATTTACGCATAAGCAATTCGGCTTAGATAATCACACCAATGTATGTCTGTTTCACTCTAAAAAGCTGACTGAACATAAGTCTCTTAGAACTTAACAACTTGATTTTTCCAACCATTCACCATTGTCTATTGATTTGACAATCAAACTGTGTTTTCGAAAAGCTTTTGATAGTTTGTTGTCTACTAGATTAAGACCCGTTATTCGATAATTATCTTTTTACGAAACTGCAGTAAATATTTTCGCAATTGTATGCAAAAAAAAAGAAGTTTGGGATAAGAGAGATCAGAGGTACTATTAAAAATCAATTTGTTTTCTCATCTACAAACTTACAAACGCATTCATATATTTTGAAGTTTGGTTATGACATGACAATGATATTAGTACAAATAGATAGACAAGCTCTTGTTTTATTAAAATAATTTAAGTGATAAGTTATATCCTTGTTAAAACTAATTTTATTTACAAATAATATCAAACATTGATGATGGTGATTAGCAAATTGTATTTCACAATGGTCACAAAAAATGTTTCTTGTTAGTATTTCTAGAGTTTTTGATTTGTGTACTTGTATTGTACAACATAAATCCTCTACATTAATGTCATTGTTGACAAAGCCGTTCTGAGCCCATCTAACTGAAACATTGGTTTAGAGTCCCCAATTTTTTGAGTCAATTAATAATAAAATTAGGGTTCCAAAAAGATATTTTATTGCAAAATAGGTTTCATTTTTCAAAAATTATAAGACTGGTTTCAAATTTTAAATTTTATTTAAAAAAACAGTTCAAATTTTATTTTTTTGCTTGGGCCCCATATTTTCCAGATCGGTCCTGATTGTTGAATATTGACATTTATTTTTTTCGTTTTGCTACCACCGAAATTCAAATTCTTGCTCTTTAGTGTGACATATAAAGTACGGACTCACATTAAAAAAGAATATCATGGTTTTCAAGTAGAAGTAATCTCACCGGAAAACATTGCAAGAAAAGAGTTATATAAGATCTTGTTTCTTCTGCTTCAAGCCTCAAAACACAATAGTCAATCCAATGAATGGACTCTCATTGAAACGATTTTCCAACGTAAGTTAAAAAACCAAACCGGGACTCCAAGTCTGTTGGAGAACACAATCGATGCCTTCATTGCTAACACGTCCCTTCAACTCTGTTTCACCAAATGGTGTTGCGCTCCAAAGGCGTAGGTTGACCGTCTGCTAGCAACATTGAAGCACCATTTTGCTCCGATTTTTGAAGTCCGAGAATGGATGGTATTAATGTCAATTAACAAATCGACCCATTTTCTCCCTACCAAACATGAAAAACATACATTACTACAAAAACTAATAAAATATTTAAGAAAAAATAAACCAGAAATGCTAAAAAGATTAACCAAAGATTTAAAAACCCACTAAAAATATTTTTTTTGTTTGGGCCATATTTTTCAGGGTCGTTGAATATGACATTTAAAATCTTTGTTTTGCTATCACAGACATTCATAATTCTCGAAAAGTGAAATCATCACTACAATTGATATAAGGAATAAAACAAATGACAAAAAGTTCCCATATTTCGAAAACGATACAAAATCTCCATAGCACATCAACCATATAGAAAACCACATCTAATCACTAACACTTCCTAGAAAAATAGTTTGACTTTGAGAAAGTCATTTTTATTTGCTTGAAGAAGTTAACTAACTCTCTTGAATAATCTCGTGTTGAGTGTAAATACGTTGATAATTTTTTATAAAGTCCATTAGTTTAATTTATAGGAAATCGTAATATTCTAAGAAAATATTTTATCTTTTTAGAATCTTTATAATAGGGTTATATTACAAAATCTTTCAGAGCCCACTTTGATCGTTTTCTTCTTTGGCCAGTAGGTTTGGTCTTCGGGTTAAAGACACCTTTCATCAAAGACCTTATATGCAAAGATCCTATCTCACATATCTCTTCCTCTACTTCTTCTAATAGCTCGTCTATATACAACTTCAGTTCGCCTTTCCTAACAACCATTACACCAAACCTATATTCGCCTTGGCTTCTCGAAATGCATCATGTATATGCAGGCCCGGCCCTAGATAAATTTCTATGATACATAGGTATTGGACCTTTAATTTACGAAGCTCATTCTGTGGAACAAAAATTAATAGAAATTATTTTTAAGACTCCATTTTAAGAGTGAATTACATATATTTAGGCCCATTTTTATAAAAATAAAAATAAAAATAGCAATATGTTTTATTGTGGATGAATTTTTTTTAAAAAAATTGATATATATATATATATATATACTTATATCATATACATGGTGCGGAAATGTTGGGTCGAAGTCACATAGAAAATTTAGTAGGTGGAGTTAACTTATGTCTTGGGTGTTTGTTCTATAATTAATGAAATAACTAATTAACTACCTTGACGACAAAACATAAAAGGGATGTCTTCGGAATGTCAACACCGTTTTGCTTTTTAAGTTCAAGAATGTTTGACGACTGTTCGTAGTACGTAAGAAACTCATATTATTTTCTCAAATAATTAGCTACTACCAATACCTAATATTTGCCTACTCAGTTATTTTATATTAGGTGGCCGAACATCTTTTTAATGTATATGGTAATACGTACATATTAAATTGACAATAATTACAATACCTATTATATATTATAAACTAGGGGAGGTCCCCGCGCCCGGCGCGGGGTTGTATGTTGATTAAGACCAGAATTACTAATCAATATTTAGGGTTATCAAGTTAGGGATATTTATTGATTTAGTTTTGCCAAGAGTCTAATTTTTATAACGACATTAATATAGAATTATGGTAAAACGCTATAACTTTTGATATATATTATTAGTAATCAACAATTAATAGC